TGGCTTCATTATAAACCATAAAAGCATCAGCAGAGGTGGGACCAGAGGAGGGGGGGGAAGGAAAAAGAACAGGTGGGAGCAGAGGAAGAAAGGAAAGAAGAGGGTCTATGCTCTGGAATGCAGCTTGCAATACAAACAAAAATTAACAGTGAACTCCTAATTCAGTCAGCAGTCCCTGTGTAAGCACTGAATGATATTTGAAACATAATGCAGTACAGGCTGAAAACAAAACTGTAGCAAAGTTGAATCATTTCAGTTTGGTTTTCCACTGTAGTCACACCCTAAGGAATTTTAGTCTAGTCAGTGCAAGTTTAATTTTGGCTGTGTGCTCCTGGTGGTGTGTTATTTACCTCAAATTCATTAAGGCCACAGCCTAATACAAAACATTTTTTGCCCCCAATTCATGAGGGTAAATCCAAAGTTAGTCTCAACTTGAACAGACACATTGAAATTGAAGTCACTTGTTAAGTCACCACATAGATAGATCCCTTTGATTTGAATACTTTATTTGAGTTGGGACTGTATTTAGTTCCCGATGTTGAGCACTAGTAATGGAAAAACTGCAGCTAGTGACCAAAATGACTATGAGTAACACACTCCCACATATGTCAAGTGACAGATGCAGTCAAGTTTCACCTGCATATTTCCTGTCTGTATGAACAACATCCATATCTTGGGAAATAACTATTTTGGATTAACTATTCCAGGTATCCTCCAGCTGAATTATGTATGTTTGTATTCAGATCCAAGTATACAGGATAGTAGTAGGATCTTTTGACAATCTATTTGTGCAGAAGCTGTTGTAAAACATTCCTCCCCTGCTAAAGATAATTGTTGGATCAAGTCAATTGAGACTGATCATGACTATCATAAAACCATCTATGATTATTTTTATTTGAAAAATGACATTCCTGCAATTTGGTATATAAGAAGCAGTTGTAAACAAAAAGAAGCCCTTTATTAAGAACAATCTTTGGTTAGATTGATATTTTAAACATGTCTGGACAACGTTTTTTTAACTTAATTCATTTCTACACATAAGAGGTTCCTTGCAGGGGGGCAAATGGCATTAAAGGTTTAAAATAATATTAACATAGAAATAATTGCACATTTTATCATGAAACTGGTAAATGTTACAAAACTATGTAGTGATTTTGCTTTTATTTTAAATTATTTTGCAACAAAAGATTTTTTATTGAACTATAGCAGCCTTAGACATTGGCTTTGTAATAAACTATATAGTAACTTGCAACATACTGCCAGACACTGGCTGTACTCAATGAAATTAAGTTTGATTTCACTCCTTAGCAAAATTAAATTTCATCCACAAATTATACAAGACATCAGTAATTTGTTATGTGGTATTATGTTTGCAATTCAGAACTAGGCAGAGCAGTAACTAAAACATACATGAATTTTGCATTGACTAAAGTAACAGGCTTTTGCCAAATTTACAACTGCATAGAAAGTATAGATAAGATCTGGTGAACTGCCAAAATTATTTAAAAGAAAAAGAGAAGAAAATTTCACTGTGAATATACAAAGACAGGATCCCTGCTGTTTTGATTCTATTTTCATCTGTTGCGTCCACCCATATAAATGGGGTTATCTATCTGTAACATCACATTTTTTCAGCAATTGGTAACTCCTATCCTGAGCAGTATCTTGGCAGGCAAATTCTAGGTTCTAGGACTTGGATTACTTTCTTTGGATACAGATATTGGAAGAAATGTTGTATGCCCTGTCTACTTTGATGTTATCCCTAGTGCCATTTGCTTCCAAATAGTGGGCAATAATAGTATATAGTGATTGCCTAGCAACTACTCAAATGATTTCTCCCTGTTCTTTCCTTCCTGATCTCAGGAACTGTGGTAGCGACTATGAGGAATGCTTTGAGGGTTATGTGTTCCTTTACATTTTGCATAAATACTTGTGTAGAAAAAAACACCTTATCAAGTTTTAAAAAAGAACATGAAACACTTGTCTGAAGAACTCTGAACACCCAAAATGTCTTTCTTAAGCTTTGAACATCACTGTTATTATTGCCAGAACACCTTCATTGTGTAAATCCAGACACAGTGGCAATTTCTAAATAGTTTTATGAGGCATACACCAAATGTTATACACATGTGCCTTTCAGACACAATGAGCGGTATGTATATTTTGTGCTTGGCCCTCCTCATCTCAGTACAAAATGTAATGTGGAAACTGGCCTTTAAGGCAAAGTTCCAGAATATTTGTTCTTGATTTGCTGGGACACTGGTATTATAATGAAGCTTAACTACTGACAGCGATTGCAACACATTTTGTAGTTGATTTGTGTATGGAAATTAGATCTTTCTTCATTGTGTTCTACTGCAGAATAGGATAAATTGCACACAAGAAAGGATGCAAGATATACATTTATAGGCTCATGCTAGATGATTACAGGGCCAAGATGAGGAAGCTGGAGCACCTTAAAATGGATAGTATATCATTATTTTAAAGATATAAACTCTGTGGGAAAGGCAGGGATGAGCGTATGAGGTTTAGTTTTGTTCTTGGTGTCAAAGAAGCTGTTGTTGCCACGTGCCATCAAGTCACTTCTGACTTATGGCAACCCTATGAATGACTCATCCTGGAAATGTCCTATCCTCAACAGCCCTGCTCAGTTCTGCAAACTCAAGGCTGTGTCTCCCTTGATGGAGATGGCCCAGCTCATATTTAGTCTTCCTCTTTTCCTGCCTTCAGCTGCCTTCAGCTAAAAGAAGGCATGCAATTCAATGAAGTAGAAAATTCAAAGCAAAAAAACTCCTTCAGAGACTTGCTTTGTAATGTTATTTGCCACTGGAAAGATATTACTCTTCTGTCACAGAAACTCTGAAAATGATCTTAAGATTCTATCTGAATCTGAATTTCAGATTCTCTTTAGCTTTTCTGTTATTCACATCAACTTCTTCGTTATTCCTCCTCCCTTTTGAGTTAATAGGGCCTATCAACTGTTACTGTGTTTTACTAAGATTCTCCAGTACCCACTCCCTGAAGACATAATGTCAAATTAGTGCTTCTAGTACTAGCTATTTGAAAAGTAAAAATAAATACAGAATGAACTAGGAGCACTTGTGGGCATTTGATTACTATTTTGGTGGCCACCTGCCTCAGAAAGGCTGCTACTGTTAACAGGCCCTAGAGATTCTTGTTCTGAACATAACTGTAATGCTTCTTAATTATATTGAATTACTAAAAATATTTATCTTTAATTTGACATTATTAGAACTGAAAAACAATAAATAAAGGTGGTGGTGGGGAAAATGAAAGATAGAAATAGACCAAAACAGCAAAGGTCCAAAGAACTTTTACTGTCCCCCTATTCAGGTTCTTCAATACCCCTGAAAAGATGCACCAGCAACCCAGCTATCTAGAATATAAAATGACCCTGGCTGGATTAGTTCTCAAGTCCACCTAGCCTAACATCCTATTTCTAACAGTGGTGAAAATATATAACCATGAAGCCTACTAGGAGTACCTCAACCCTTAGCAAGTATGTTTTTCCAGCATCCTGGATCACAGGCTCTTCCGTCCATTCAGCTGCTGTGACTAACAGCCGCTGATGGGTTTTCTACAGATTTGTTTAACCCCTTTTAAGAACTGCCTTAACTGGCAGCTATCACAAGATCTTTGGTAGGAAATCTAGTACATTCATGAGGCATTATGTGAAATAGCATTTTGTTTTTTTTGTTCTGAGCTTATGGCAGTTCAACACTGAAAGATGACTTGGGTGATTTTTCATACTATGAGAAAGGGAGAATGCCCCTCTGTCAAGTCACCTGCTATATTCCTCTTTAAGTAAGAAGCCCAAAAGTTCATTTAGTAGTTGCTCATTTTAGCATGAAAGAGAGCAAACAAGATTAAGAAGTATGGAAAGTAGCAGAGAAGAACGTTGGAAGAGTTTTCTGAAGGAATCAAACTACTGGGTCTTAACTGGTCGACTGAAGAAGTATGTGAACTACAAAGGTGTTAATAATCAGTGAAGCAGTAGAAGTGCTGTGGAATTTGGAAGGATGGGCTATCATTAAATGTGGAATTTCTGGGAATACTAAGCAGGGATCACATGCAAACATGACATGCCTAGGGAATATGTTTTTTTTCAGCATATTCCTCCAGGAACAAGTGTTTTAGGTGGGCAGTGCAATTGGCTAGTAGATCTCTGTGTGCTCTGTAATGCAGGGCCTTTTTAAAAATGCCCCCTCAGTGCTTGGGGAAATTGTGCTGTTGCTAATATACCTTCTTGTCCTACTGACCCCTTGTGGAATGCACACTAGACACTCTGGATTACTAAACTAAATGCCTTTCCACCAACCCTTCATCTTGCATGTTAAGAAAAAAAAATGAGAGGACTTCACATGAACTCCTCTCAGTAATAGGATGAAGGATTCAAATGATTTTGCCTTAGTCCATTTTGTTCCTTAGACTGAGTGAACTGCAGCCAATGTGATGAAATGAAATCTAACAGGGCAACAAGCCCTGAATGAAAACTGACATGGCCTTGCCACTGTTTTCACTTATGAAAAACACAGCATGTTTAGCTTAGAGTCAAAGAACACTCAACCAGGTTTCTGCTTACAGAAGAGTCAGCAGGTTCAAGTCCAGAGATTTTCTGCCACAGCTTTATAAGAAAGCACTCCAGCTTCTTTCATTTTGTACATTATAAAGCTCCTATATACCTTACCAGGAATGGGGAGCCTATAGTTATTCCAATACTCGCAATCTGATTTCACCTTATGCCATTTTTCAATAAATAAGCTAAAATAAAACTCTCAGAGAATAGCCTTCTGAATTCTACCTGCTTGTTAAAACATAAAAACAGTGATAGTTATAAGATAACCATGTACTATGTATATCTATATATATGTAAAAAAATATCCCTGGATTACTTTTTTGTGCAAAGAAAGAAAGAAAGAAAGAAAGAAAGAAAGAAAGAAAGAAAGAAAGAAAGAAAGAAAGAAAGAAAGAAAGAAAGAAAGAAAGAAAGAAACAGAATCTGGTCCTCCAATTTGGTAAGAAATTTTTTTGCACATAGATATAAGCAAAAATAGTTGCATATGCTTAAACATGCACCAGGTTGTTACAGGATCAAGTCCTATCATTTAAGTAATGGCTTGTTTAGGAATGGAATGCCCCCAGCGTGAAACTATTTCCTCTTCTACACATCGACATGGCATGAATGGCAGGAAGACACACTCCCTCTATGGCTCATTGACGACCTTGGGCTATGGTTGTTACAGTTTTCACCTTTCCTTTTATCCTTGTCCATCCAGGTTTCTAGTAGTTGGAGTTTTCCCTGTTCTTCTTTCATGAAGACTTCCACCATCAGAACTTTTTCCTTATGAATCTGCTGACTGATGTCCTTGGGAATGTCAGGTATAATCCAGTCCACAAAATCACTCATAAACATGACCAAGTTCTGAAGAATAAGAACGTTTGAGAAAACACTAGCAAAATCAAAATTACATCTACACATTTAAAATATACTTCATTTTTTAAAGGAAGAGATTGCTTTCCCTTTGGGAAGTGGCTCTTATTAGAAACAGGGACAAGTGTAAAAAATATTGCTTCACTTAAGAGGGTTTATTAGTTTTGTTTTGTTACAATTTCAGGTCCCTGCCTCGGCTTGCATGAATGGTCAGCTTCTTCCTCCACAGTTTGGAAACAACCTGGCTTATTTCCAAATTAATCTGCATTTAGCCGACCTGTCTTTGTCCCACCCCCACCCCCACCCCCACCACACTTGTTCATTTAGCTGCTCCTCAGCTCTTCTTTCACGCTTTATGAGAACTCTGTTTTGGTTTAGGGACACTTTAGTTTTTTCCTCCTGGTATACACATGGATGAAGGGCCACTTCAAACTATTTGTAATTGCTACAATAACACTGTTGAGAAAGCTCAAAATAATTATCCCTGTATTTTAGATGAAGGCCTACTGTTGAAAAATACTGTAGTAACAGTCTTAAGGACAGAATATGAAATTGCTGCTGTTTGCCTGTTCACTCTTTCCAAAAATAACTAATATAAAACAATGTGTGATGTGATATCATTGTGCTTGTATTCCCTCACCCCTACCTCACATTATTTGTTGTTGGGCAGTAAAGGGTAGAGATGTACGGTACAAAATGTTACTGGCAAGATAGAAGAAAAAATATGGAATGGCAGAGGTTGCACGTCTCTCCTCCTTTTATAGTTAATGGTTTCTTGTTAGTGAGTCTACTTGACATGAACACCAGGTTATCTTGAATCAATCAGTCAATCAATGAATCAATGAATTAACGAATCAATGAAGCAATCAACCAGTCAGTCTGTCTGTCTAGTATATATATATATCATCAGGTTTTGATCATACTTTACCTGGAACACTATTACAAATGCTAATCTTGCTGCTAGTACAGCCCAGAAATCCTTTGCAATGTCATATTTATTTTCAGACCATGGAGGCTCTCTGTAGTCTTTGTATCTGAAAAATAGGACATAACTGACAATCAACAGGTTCCAGTTGGTGGGGATTAATTATGGAATATATAGAAAAGGCTAAATGACCCTTTAATATTGATATAACATAGATTAATAGACATTTCCTTTTACCATATGGATGTGGAAGAAAGCTTGAAAGCTTGCCAACATGCAGTTTTGATGAAATCTGGAAAATAATCCTCAAATCATGTTTCTTTGGGTATTTGGATAAGAAAGACTTAAAATACTCAGGAGTTTGGCATGCTGAGTTCATTGCCGACGAGCTGACAAAATTGCCTTGCTGCTTTCTATGTCCTTGTCATACTCACCTGTTCTGTCCTTGTATTTAAATTGCATAGTGTTGTGTATCTGAGATCATAGGATAATGCACCATCCTGCTGCTCAGTGTATGCCAAATCATAAATTTCAGTCTATTCCTTCCTGGTAAACAAACCACCCCGCCACATTTCTTGGGATTGGGCATGATTTGGTACATGAGTGTGCATGCCCCAGAAATCACGGCTGGGATGTTTTGCTTACCAGGGAGGAAACATTACAATTTGGGTGAAACTAAAGAACAGGAGATTGGTCGATAGGTTTTGAATAGAAAGGGATTACCCCATACAAAATTAGTTATAGGCTAAGGCCTCAAGATATAGGTCATCCTTTTAAAACATGGATATTTATGCAGCAATCTGAGCTAATTTCATTTTATAAAGTGACCATCAAGTTCTTTAAAAGACTATTTGGACTGGTTTCCTGAAAAAAATGCAGGTTGGGAATGAAGGCTGCTCCTACACAGAGGGTTGTTAGCAGTTTACTAAGACAATGCAGGCATTATGTCCTTTCATCCTAATGTTTGTTTGTTGGAAATGAAAACATGGAAGCAGCAGGAGCAGCAACAGCAAACAATGGTCCCCCCCTTTTCTACTACCCCTCCAATTAAACTAAGTACAAACCATGTAGTGTTCTAGGGATATGAAGTGGCAGCTCCCTTATGGATGTGTACCATATCCTCATGACAGGAAGAAATGAAGCAGGGATGATACCCCGTATTCATGGGTATGTGAATTCAACATTATTGTTTTTTTCAGGGGTGTGGGGCTGAAGAGAAATTACTAAGCATGCAGTTCTGGAAGGAGGACATATTCCTATTCAGGAAAAAATGAAGGCTTAAAACCAGAACAGTATGGGAACAAAAATGAGAGATAACTGAAATATAATGTGGACATGTACTTTAGAGAATTATGTTTAGTTCTTTGAACAGGTAGTGACATATTCACTTGCTCCTGTCTACTCTAATCCTAGCCATAACAGAATTATTCTGTTCCCCACAGAGGTGGTTTCAAACAGACAGTTCTTAGTGTAACCAGTCAAAAGACACCTAGCAGCTATTTTGTGTTTTGTTCCTTCATGGAAGTGGTGGGAAAGCATTGGAGAGTTTCAAGTGGAGTATGACATCATCTAAGAGTGAGGCAGGATGAGCATACAATGGCCAAAATTGTGTTGCTTAGCACAGTAAAGTACATTAGAGTGGACACATTGAATAAGGGGGGATTTAGTGAATCAACCCCTCCACAAGTTCCATTGATTGAAATAGGTCCACTCTAACTATGACTTACTTTAACATAGTAATTTACAGTTAGAGTAGGTCAATTTGAATCAGTGGGATTTATGGAGGAGTTGACTAGATCAGTGAGTTAGGTATCTGACTGTGGAGCCAGAGGTTGGGAGTTTGATTTCCCACTGTACCTTCTGGGAGAAAAGCCAACCTCTGTGGCCTTGGCAAGCTGCACATTCCCAGGGTACCCCCAGAAGTAGGGTATGGTAAACCACTTCTGATTATTCTCTACCTTGAAAACCTCAAAAAGGGTCACTGTTAAGTCATCATCATTGTTGTTGTTGTTGTTGCTGTTGTTGTTATCACTGTTAAGTTGTTGTTGTTGTTGTTGTTTTTGTTGTTGTTGTTGTTGTTGGTTCCACCAAATCCTCATTGATTCAATGGGCCTACTCTAGTATGATTTACTATACTAAGCAACAAGATTTGGGCCATTGTAAGCTTTATTGGAAGCACCTTAAGGGCTATCTTGAGAGACATTCTTAATTAAACATTTTTGAGAGATAAAGCAGGGTGTATGCTTCATTATTTGCAAAAAAAACACAAAAAACCAACAAGTTAACAATGAAAGAAGTAACCCAATTAGTATGCTAGCAGAAACAAGTTGCTCATGGTCCAAAATTCCAGTAGAGAGGTGTAAGAAACTCATTCATGGTTATAGGAAGTGATTGATTTCAGTTCTTTTTACCAAAGGGAGTGGTACCAAATATTAAGTTAAGGGTGCCAATAATTTTGGCCAGTGCATTTTTGGGTTTCTGTGTGGGATCGTATCAGATTTGACTTTTCTTCTCTTTTTTTGTGTTGTTCCAATGCAAACCAAAGAAATGAACATGTGAGTACCAAAATATTTGCAACTGCAACAATTTTCTGAGAGAAGGGTTGCATTTTCTGACAGAATCGCAAGGGTGTCAATATTTTTGGCCATGACTGTAGCTATTCCCTGGGAGGCCAGAGACAGGAGAAAGATATTGAAGAAGCACTGTGGGAGAGGGAAATAAGGATGTCAGCGTTGGTCCAGATAGCAGTCCTGATTGGGGAATATTTACAGCAAAAATATTGAATTTGGGTTTGTGATGAATATGAAAGAATACATTTTTACAGTAATGCTTATGTTTAGAATGGTACAGAGCATAGAAGAATGTCAGTTCATCAGCCAACTCTAGTGTATGTGGAATTTTTATATTTACAAATGGGTACATGCTTGAGTAACTACTGAGACTTCAAGATCAGTCTAAGTTTTAATTTGCCCAGATTCCAATCTGGACCCCCCAAAGTTTTGCAAAATTCAGCCTGATGAATAGTACTGGCAGACTCAAGAGCTCATATTTTCCCTCCCTTTTAAATAATTTTGGTAGTCCATTAATGGCATTGCCCAACTCTGCTTTCTACTTTTTATGTACATACGTTTGTGCATATGTGAAAAGTGTGAGTTGGCATTAAGGCCCTGTTTGTTATGTTTCATGTGGAAACTTAGGAGAAGAGTGTTGATAGGAGCCAGAGAAACCTAATATCTCAAGTATCAAGAGGCAGGGCAAGGAAAACTCTGACTAAAAACCCATGTTCCCATTGACAGGCTTTAAACCTTGGCTGGTTTTGCTCAAGCCAAGACAACTGAGAGGCAATAGGTTATGCATAGGTGGCAGAGGAAGGAAGAAGGAATATTCATTTAAAGATGGACAGTGAAAGCAGCAAGTCAGTGTTCCAATACATACAGCAGACAACCAGTACATAGAAACATAAATAGGAAACCTTGTGAGATGCACGAGTAAGTCAATATCCCAGGCAATGGCCTTGGGAGAACTGTTTCAAAGAAATAACATTATGTACCTGCATATTTGGATTGGGTAGCCAAGCTCCATAGGATCTTTTGGAGCTGTTCCTCCTTGAAAATCGCTGACATTAAAATAGGATAGCGTATGGTTCACGAAGCCATGCATGGTGCCACTTTCACTGTACATATACAGGTACACGAGGCGTGGAATGAAGTCAGATGTGAATGAGATCACAAATGCCTAAGCCATAAGAGTAAAAAATGAGCGTAATATTCAGGCAATGCTGGACTGATCACATAACCAGATTCAGCTGTCTCTTTCCCAGCAGAGCTATGAATAGATAGATGGATCAGGTTGGTTCAGCCCTATCATTAGATCCAATCGGCCAATGTTTTGCTTTGTTGTATTTCCACATGAATTGTGACAGTTAAAACTCCAGAACTGTATCAAATTGTGACTGAACATCTGACATTGGTAGAAGAGATATCATGCACACAAATAAATACAAAGCTTTCCAAAAATTCCCATGGATTCAGTAGGCCTACTTTAGTTGTGACTTACTGCACTAAGCAACAGGATTTCACCCACTAAGGGTGTGACTTCACTGGAATGTTGAATTGGAAAGACTCTGAGTTTGCTTTGATTTGCTTCAGAGCCTATATTGCATTTATAATTGTAATCAGTGCTCACGCAGGGGCTGTGTAACATTTCAGGAGTTTAGTGTTTGCAGTGGAAATGTTGAGATTGGTTTTACAGCTCACAGCCCCCCCCTTATTTCCTTCCTTCCTTTAGTTCTGCCTCTGGCTTTCTTTTTATGGTTTGTTGTAAAGCAGATTGGTTTTCAAATACACATGTCTCCTCTCACTGATTGTCCTCTGATTTTTTAAATTTTGATTTTATTTCATTTAAATTTAGTGTTGCATCACCTCTGCACATATAAACCAATTTTTTAAAAAGGCAACAAAAAAAGAAGCAAGAAAGATGAAATGAAAGACAATGCTGCATCACCTCTGCACATATAAAACAATTTTTAAAAAAGTGAACAAAAAAAGAAGCAAGCAAAATGAAATGAAAGACAATGCCATGGATTGGAATTTGAAAACCAAGCTGCTTTACAACAAACTATAAAAGGAAACCCAGAGGCAGGACTAGAATGAATAAGTAAGTAAGTATTGGTAAGTAAGAAAGTAAGTACCGGTTAGTAAGTACAGTAAGTAAGTAAGTAAGGAAGGAAGGAAGGAAGGAAGGAAGGAAGGAAGGAAGAAAGGAAGAAAGGAAGAAAGGAAGAAAGGAAGGAAGGATCAGCACCTACAAACCACATGGGGAAAACCCTGTTCAACCCCTTCTGTAATGAAGAATGTACTCAGTAGCAAAGAAAAAATAAAGCCAGTTTCCAGATGGATTCAAATGAGTCTTCATATCATGTGGTCAGTAATTTTTTTTCAAATACTGTATATCCATTTCTTAAGCAGAGCAAATTCCATGGTATTTGATGGTGTAGTCGCCAACTAAGTCCTTTGAATTAACTTGAACTGGAGCTTGGAAAAGTTATTGTTTGGAACTACAACTAATGGAATCCATTTTTGTCATGTTGGTTGTCCTGTGGTGGGATCTTGGGAGATGTCACTGAAAAGTACTGAAAAAGTAACTTTACTGAACTTTTCCACATACTGATAGGAGTTGGTTCAAAATGACTAACTGTGCGCATGAAAACAAAGTCAAAGAGGAGTTCTTAACTATTTAAGAACTCTTCCACTAAGTTGATGGAGGACGTTTTATAAGGCCCTTGGGTAAGAATGCAAGTGATAAAGTGGACAAAGACAAAGGTCCTTGCAGGATCAGACAAATAGAGTACGCAGGGATGAAAAATGAGCCAAACACCAACTGAGAAGAGAAGTGGAGGCTTGGCACTTGCTTCAGCCCATTTTCATGGCTACTTTTCCAAACATATTCCCACTAAATGGTGGGGATTTCCCTGGCAAATTATGAAGCTATTACTTGGTGATGTCTTAGATTCTTAGATTTCAGGTACTGTAGAAAAGTAGCAAAAATATTATTTATTTATTTAAAATATTTTTACCTTGCCTTTCTCCCCAAAAGGACCCAAGGTGGCATCATGGTGTTTTCCTCTCCTTCAACAATACCAAATCACAGTAGACTAGTGTGCGTCCTGACAATTTTTTTGGAAAGTATTGCTAAGTTTCACAAATAACTGAAATCGAACTGAATAAACAATCATTGCATTGTGTAAAAATTCTCGTGTTAACATGGTTCTTAAATGCATCAGGATAAAAGGGCTTGACACACTGGGCCATATTTATAAATGTTGGCCAAATTCCTGTTGCTTGGCATAGCAAAAAGCACTAGAGTGGACCCACTGAATCAGTGAAGATTTAGTGACAACACCTCCATAAGTTACACTGATTCTCTTGTTACTGTCAGAGAGATCACTATAGGTATCTTGTATAAGATGCTACTGAACTGACAGGTTGTGGTTTATAACAAGAGTTAACTGTTTGAGGAGATACAGTATGAGATTCTTGTGGAGCTTATGTTGATTTTGGATTACCACTATCTGCCTGTATAATTACTTCTGGGATTTTGTAAGCTCCGAACATCCTGTACATTTGCAACCAAGAAAAAGTTACAATACAATCACATTGTTTTCTTGAATAAAAGTAAATAAATCCTGTCTTGAGCATCCTGTGTTCATGAAAGGGGAGTGTGAGACATCAGGTAAAACAATGCGTTTTTCCATGAATGCAGAACAAGAGTTGGATGACTCAGAGGAACAAAAATGGTATTTGTCACTTTTGAAAACACTGTGGCACAAAATATTGAACAACAGAAAATGATTCTGAATGCAATAATGAGAAGGCCCCCCCTGTGCCCTAAATTCTATGGACTTAGAATCATGCAGTTAGTACTCTGCTATCAAGAACCACAAAAAATGGATTAGGAAATATCTAGGAGCAACTGACACCTCTTGTGGTAATTTCCATTTGCTCTAAACAACTTATTTCATGTGAAAAAACCTTTGTGATCTTTCAGCTATATGTCTCATCAAGAATGTCAAGAAAACCATTCACTCCACATTTTACTATCAGACAGTCCCTTTATGAAGCTGTTTCTTAAAAGCAATACAAAGACCTTTGCAACATATTACAACTTATATTTGAAATTCAACAAATCTTAGGAAATCTAGAGCATCTGTTTGTTTTAATTGTAACACTATCCATCCCTTATTCCAGGTTGCCCAGAATAGGGTTTCAGCTTCACAACAACCTTCTGTAATTATTATTGGCCACCATTATACGCCCCTGAATATACTCAGTCTTGGCTGATTTCAGCAGGGCAGCTGAGTCAGGCCTGGACAGATCACTTGGAAATACCTGGAATCTCCAGTCAGGGCTAAGAGAAAATGCTGCCTAAACACCCTCCTACTGGACTAGAAAGACTAATGGGTTGACCAAACAGCTTCAAAAGTCATCCTGATAGACGGTGGTTCCACTAAGGCTGGCTAGTGTGCTTCAGAGCAGAGTGGGAACCTGAATGTAAGATTCTTTCCTCTCTGTCCAGGCCTTTAGAGAGTGCTCCACACTAATCATCTTTAAAGTAGCATTTCAAGTTAATTGAATGGAAAAGCAACCTTGATAAACTGCTTCACAAAATTAAATGTAATAAACTTACATTTATTATCACAGCAAGCTTTCCTACACCTCTGAGGATATTGTACCATATTCCTGGAAAAGACAAACAAGATATTAAAAGCATTTCTTATCATAAACATTGGTACGTAATTGTAACTTAACATCATAGCTACATGATCATCCTCTTCTGTATGCTGTATCACAAAGCATCAAGGTGCTCATTCTTACCTTTAAAATAGGGGTGGTTGAATTGTAGCAACATGTTAAACCTGAAAAGCAATCTCAGTATGGCTTACTGCAAGCTTTTTTTTTTTTGGCCAGTGTTAATTTAAGGAGGAAACTTTAATGATTGCCCTCTTTCCCAGAAGGTCTCTTCCTTAAATCTTGTTTATTTCAAAAAGATGAAGCCTTTTGTTATGTAACAGGCTTAAGTATTAACTGTAATGTCAAGTTAATTCTTTATTTAAAGAGGAAGAATTTTAGCCCTTTCCTTATGGCTCAACAGCCAGCTGCTTCTTTAAAGTACATGGTTCTCAAAATAGATTTAAAATTGTTCTATAACCAATTGATTTTATTCTATAATGAATTAAATGTAATTCTGGGGTGCTCCTTTTATAATAATATTGCTGAGAACAATAACTGAAGTATGAGCAGATTTGTGGATGCAGCGTTATTATAATTAATATACTGAGAATTGTTTTTAAAATAAATATAAATAATAGAAAAGGAGTTATTCAAATACACCCCATTTCCTTAGGCCTGTGTGAGCATTTCTCCTGAGGTGGACAGCTTGCATATTCCCATCTGTAGCAACCCCAGACCTACTGGAGTATCCCACCCTGTAGTTATGCTGCCACCAACCATTCGCTCTACCAAGTCACCCAGACCAGGAATGGATTTTAATAAACAAGAGAACAAGGTTTATTGAAAAAACAAACAGCCCTGAGGTGGACAGATTGCACATTCCCATCCTACAGCCTTGGGGATCACATCTGCTCCCTCAATCTCTCACCCTCACAAATTTCTTACAAAAATGTTTGGAAAGCCTCCCTCACATTCTTTAATGGCCAAATGGGGACAGCCCCCCCAAATACAACAAAATTGCTTTTGTGCCTCAAGTAGGAGTGTTGTTGGTGATGATGGGAAGGGAGGAACAGAGCATTTTAGCTATGGCACTGGTGCTCTGAAATGCTCCTCTAGAGAAGCCCACATGACCTCATGAATACAATCCTTCTGGCACCGGATAAAGACTTAGATCTTTAAGAAGACTTTAGATGAAGAGGGACCAATATTCTGTGCCTTTGCTATTGTACTATTTTATTATGAGTTTTAATATGGTCTTGATTGTATAACTCTATATTATTATGGTTCTTGTGGGTTTTTTGGGCTCTTTGGCCGTGTTCTGAAGATTGTTCTTCTTAACGTTTCTCCAGTCTCAGTGGCCGGCATCTTCAGAGGACAGCACCATAACAAAAAAAGAGGCAAGGTTGGAATGAAAAACCAGAAACTTTTGCCTTGTGTCATTGATGATCGTTTGACACAAGTCATTTTGCTGAGTTGTGTCTGAGAATGGCTTTGCTTTAGCAGATGGTGCTTCTGACGATGTACATCAGGCCATTCAGCTCATTCCTTATTTAATACAATCTTATTTCAGTGATGTGGAGAGGGGGGATTTGCTGGTTGGGTAACAGCCTATCATCCATATTATTTTACCAAGGCTTCGTGCCCTGGAGAGGGCACTCCAGCTTCGCGTACAGCGTCAAAACACTAGATGCTGTTCCAAGTCCTCCATATAGAGCACATTATCATAATCTCTCGAGACTGAAGGATGCCTATGATGTCCATACCTGATTCTATTCTGGACAGTCTCTCAACCCTCAAAAGCAGGAGACCTAAGTAGATAGAAAACTGGGTATCTCATTCTGGGCAAGCCAAACACTTTCTGGTAAGGCAAGATACACTTTAACTTTTTTTTTTTTTTAAGCATAGGTGCTCCTTGTGTGGTAAAAGATGTCATGCAGCATGTGATTTTCCTCATCTGTGTAACTTGCATATAGTATTATTTGTTTTGTATTATTACTGGTAGTAATTGGTGAGGAACCCAGGAAAACTCTGTGGTAGGGGAAATGGGTTAATTACAGGCAATAACCATTCCATTACCTAGTTTGACCTAAAATGTTCACTGTTTACAAACCGAGCATTAACTACTTATTTGGGATTACTTACCTATATCTTTTGCTCTAACTGCGACTGGCCTTCTAAGCTCAGTAACAAATTTCTTTGCATCCAAACGTATTTCAATGATGTTGTTCAGTAATGCGAACAAGGGAGCCAGTGGGAAGGACGCAACAAACAGGGTAACGAACCCGAACTGGATAACTAAAGATTTAAAAGATATTGGTGTAACTTTCACAATGTAAAGTCCACATTTTTTGGAAGCTGGCCCTCATAGGTGCCAACATTTATTACAGAATCCAGAACATGCATAGACATAGACATAGACATAGACATAGACCATAGACATAGACATAGACATACACATACAGAGAGATTGAAATTCTGTTTCACAAGTTACAGTTTGTAAATTGCATGATGTCACTGCAAACATGCCACAGTCATTTTGTGGGAATTAAAAGCTGCAAGCTTTTGGGAGCTGCGGAAAGGGGAGGAGACTCCTTAGTGTCTGAAAATTACTGCTGTTTTTCCTATTTGTATTATGTATTTATATAATATAAATACATTTTATTATTTTATAATTTGTTGCTAGGGAAAGTTTCAGATGAGAGTGGGGTAACACAAAATAGTGCCATATATTACAAGACTTCAGAACTCCTGGTTAGGAAGATGAAAAAGAATAATAATTCCTGTTTAGGAAAGGTAAAAACTAAGAAGTAAGTGAGGAGTGCCATTTGGTTTTTTTCCCCTCCCGACACCAAGAATTCTAGAAGTAGTCTGCAAGTCAAACCTAAATTTTGCGGCCAGAGAAGTCTGTAACTCAAAAAGTCTGTAAGTCAAGCCGTCTGTAAGTCAAGGGTCCACTGTAACTGAGGAGTGCCATTTGGTTTTTCTCCCCTCCCGACACCAAGAATTCTAGAAGTTCTAGCCCACCTACATTTCATTCACCTGGAACAGGGCCTACCTCAGAAGCATTTAAGGCCTGCATTTCCTCTTGTTAAAACACAAAAGAGGTAACTGCCCTGGTGCTTCCTGGAAAGTCTAGGTTTCTGTGGAACCTGTAGTTATTTGAGACTACACCTGTGTAGAGTCTAATGGGCAGCAAGATTACACCATCCATGAAGCTTTAAGCCTTCCAGAAAACACCAAGGCAATTTCTTTTTTTGTACATTAACAATAGGAAATACATGACTCAAAAACTTCCAATGTAGAGCCTGTTTCAGGTAACTGAAATGTAGATCTTTGTAGGTGCATGTCTATGAACTGGAACTGTCAGAATTCTGCTGCAGGAATTCTTGGAGAATTCTGATAGTTGGAATAAAAGCCCACAAATATCACACCCCAGAATTAACTACCAAAGCAAGGATTTGAATTTTCATTTGTGCTTAGATCCAGTTTGCCTCTGTTAATATCAAAGGCCATATTGATACAATGCAAATTATATATGCATAAAATGCAGATTAAGTACTTCCCATCAAAGAACGATTTCAAAAGAATCTACTTGATTTATTTTGATTAGACACAAAACATTAGTCTAGATGAACCCTTGCTCCTTCATAGTTTTATATGTTGAGTGGAATACTGCATGTGAGAGAGATCAATTGCAATAGCAACTGCTGCCAGAAGATGTGATGTGGAGATGTAGGTTTTCCAGCTAACCGGCCTGATCCATTACTATTTATTCCACAGTTTAAGCAGGTGGATCCTCTGATATTATCACATACATACAATTTGGATTATAAATATATAATCCTGGTCCCAATTCTCAGCCCACTGATTAAAAATTGCCTTCACCAATTAAAATTGCCCTTCAGTGATTAATTACTGATTAAATTAATTAAATCCTGGACCCATTGTTTAGACACTTGAAGTCTTACTCACTCATTTCCATGTATTCTGGAGTAAGGCCAGCAAAAGGCTCCAGGTTATAATCTACTTCGTAACGTTGCTTTTTCTTCATATGCTCTTCATAGTCCATAGGATGGTGTTGTTTCAGCTTCAAATATCTTATTAATTTTTTCATTTTCCTGGGAAAAACATTAAAAGTTCCTTTATATGCCTCATGAGTGTCATAACAGCTTTTATCTCAAGGACTTGGGGGGGGCATGTTTTGCTCCAATTTCTGAAATTTTGTAACAAATGATACAGGTAAAAACAAAAGTTGTGAGTGGATACATTCAAGAATTTACTGGTTACTTTGGATGGCTTCGCACTGTGTTAATGTATGGAATTATACTCCTCATACTCCTTACAAATTCCTGTTGCTTAATTCAGTGTATACCAACCTTCTGTTCCATGATAACTACCTATCTCAAAGCTTTTCCTTCAGGTCTTTGCTGAAAAGACTTGTATGTAATTCGCAAATACATGAAAGAATATGTGCCTTTGCTTAATAAACAAACAAACAAAAAAGGAGAGATGTGGGAAACTCCTGCCTAAAGGTTGTAGCTGCGATTCTGTTTCAGTGATGTGCATACACTCCTGGCAGGATGCAGCAGTGGCTGGGAGGCAGGGTAGCCCTTTCTTCTGCCCTTCCGCTTAGAGTTAGAGCATAAGATCAAAGGGTTATTTTAACCAATCCTAGTTAACAATTAGGTAACCGCTATCCTATCTGTTTCTCTCATAACATACTGTGCAATCTTGCTAAGTCAATAAAAAAGCCTTTGGGGCGTTGCCAAGAGGCTCCACTGGTTCGGACAACTGCTGTTGACTCCTTTGTTCTCTCTCTCCAAGGCAATTAGCCTTTCCTTTGTTCAGTGATCACCACATAAAACAGTATACCACCATATACAATTTTTACATGATTTCTGGACCACCCTTTTTCTGATCTTGTTCTACATTCTGCATTGATCAAACAATAAAAATCGTGGTGCACATTCCATAAAAAGATAATAAGAAAGAATTTTTCAAAGGACCTCCTTTGCTACTTACGGGATGCCAATTTCAAAGAGGTTGTTCTGAATCAACTGTTTGCCAAGCATAATAATACTGAGCTGTATACACAGTTCCATTAGACAACCACCAGGAGCACACTAAAGGAGAAATAAATATATGCATTCAGGATTTCTATGTAACAATGGAATGTTTATAGCTGTTTCCTAGATTAGAAAGAAGTGTGCATAAAATAAATCGCAGTTACCTCTTCCATTCGAAAAGACTGAAAAATGTAGACATACTTCCCTGGGCGTCCAACAAATCTAGGAAAATTTGAAAAAAAATAGTTGTGTCCTATGTTTTCTGTAAGTGCAGACTTTTCTACTTTTCCTGCAAGATGTCCTCATGCATGCAAAATCTACACTGATACAAACTTATAATCAAAGAATAATGCACCACAATATTGGAAAGTATTGATTATTTAAAAAAATGGACCATGACAATAAAGTTATAACATTGTATACTTTTTCAAAACTAAAGCTAATGTTTCTTTGAAGGAGCAACTTTGAGCTGGAGTTAGAAATTATCGATTTAAAGAGGATGGTATGTAAGCCCAGGAAATTCTATGCACACAAACTGGCACCCTTTTCTGATTGTAGTTTTTGAATTTTTTTTGTTTCTTCTGTTTCTTCCATCTTGGATCATTGTGTTTCTTAGTAATATATTGTCATTTTAAACTGTAAATTGTTATATGTTGTGCTGTTACCTGCCCAGAGTAGTCTATATGACTAGATAGGTGGGCTATAAGTCTAATAATTAAATAAATAAACAAACAAAGAGATAGATAGTTCTGTACATTGTTTTGGTGATAACCCTTTGAAATAGGAATTAAGAATCTCTTTTAGGGGTGCATTTAAATGGTGAGCAAGAACAAAAGGAGAAGGATGGAACAAAAATATCACTAAATTTTATCTTAAAGTTCTTGCTGTCATTAACTGTGCCTGTGAAGAAAGCTGAGAAGCCGCCAGTTGGTGGTATCATGAAGAAGGGGGCATGACCCCATGGGTGTCCCTTAGGTCAGACTTGGCTTCCCAGAAGAGCTGTATGTGGGTCCAAGGTCTGAGGTTCTCTACCCTTGAATTTAAGGACTTCTAGAACAGTGGGTTCTTAACCTTGGGTTATTCAGGTGTTTTTGGACTGCAGCTCCCAGAAGCCTTCACCACCAGCTGTGCTGGCTGGGGTTTCTGGGAGTTGCAGTTCAAAAACACTTGAGTAACCCAAGGTTAAGAACCACTGTTCTAGAAGACTCAGTGTGAATTTGTCATCTGGGAGTGAATTTCTGTGGGATGTGATAGTATGACAGGCTACCAAAATCTTCTGTGCTTGTGGATGTTTTCCATATTCCACTTTTGATGACAATCAACAAAGATAAGTTTGCAAAAATTTAAATGTTTCTAGGAACATAGAAGTAGTTATAAGTAGCACAGCCTACCCAATCATTAGGTGGAGAGAGGTAGTCTTTTAAGATCGCTAATGCCAAGAAGCAGTACATTCAATGCACTCTCCTGCTATGTGAGGTTCCTCCTACTTTTATAAGGCATTGCTACTCTGTGCAGCCCCACACCTCATGGTACAGGACAGTTCTCAGGACACCCTTCTGAATTCTTCCTGTTTCTGAAGACCTCTCAGAAGGCCTCTAAGAAGTAACTTGCTGTGTATAGAGTTGTTTTGACATGTATGTATGTATGTATGTATGTATGTATGTATGTATGTATGTATGTATGTATGTATGTATGTATGTATGTATGTATGTACGTACGTACGTACGTACGTACGTACGTACGTACGTATGATTTAATTTCATTTTGTTTGTATATGTACTGCCTATTTGGCTATCATTAAAAATAATTTAAAGTAAAATATACTTTATGAGAACTATGCTGTAATTAAGGGAAAACAGATTTATAGATCCTTTGGTTGTGAAGCAAGCATTTAAATTCATTCCTTCATAAGACTGATTGGGAACCTATTGCAAAGCAAAGCAAAGCAAAGCAAAGCAAAGCGTGCTGCTTATATACCGCCCCATAGCGCTTCAAGCACTCTCTGGGCGGTTGACAAGTTAATTATGCAGGCTACGCATTGCCTCCCCCAGCGAGCTGGGTACTCATTTTACCAACCTCGGAAGGATAGAAGGCTGAGTCAACCTTGAGCCGGCTACCTGGGATTGAACCCCAGGTCGTGAGCACAGTTTTAGTTGCAGTACAGCAGTTTAATCACTGCGCCACAAGGCTCTAATGTATTGGCCCTGTGCATGCTATTATCTATGCCCAAAGTTATCTGGAAGGCTACACATTCCCAAATTGTGGCTCTATATGTAGTATTTTACAAAAGAATAAATGTACATCAGTATGAGCTATTGATACAAGATATAATGTGATATTCATATAAGATGAATTATAATATCTTTCTCTTTTTTGCCATATATATGCACAAGTATATAAATGTATTATAAACTAGTTTTCTGACAAACTATGGAAAAATGTATTCTCGAAGGCGTTCACGGCCAGGATCCATTGGTTGTTGTAGAACACGGCCAGACAGCCTGAAAAGCCTACAACAACCTATGGGAAAAATATTTCTGACTGTAAAATAATTAACTGAATATACTCTGTGAATCCTCTGCTATTACTTGAAGCAATAACTGAGCATTCTATTAATCTTTTACCCAACTCACCGTCCTTTGAAGAAAGCAACATAGAAAATGGGAGTGTAGGCATTGACAAATTTCAGAAGGAAGGCCTTGAAGATAAGACGTTCCTCAAAATTCTTGTCTGTTTTTGGAACCTCTGGTACAGGAAAAAAAAACACCCACCCTTAATATAATAAATATGGCTGAAAGGTACATACACATTATTTTGCATCACCTGGTATTTTAGACTTTTTACCCTCTATTTAATTCTTTTTATAGAATGCATACCACAGAGTATTTTTAAAGAAAATGATCAGGTTTTAGATGGAGGGGAGAGAAAAGGGGAGAAGTTATAAAAACAAATGCATGTATATAGATAAACGTACCAACAAAACTGAAGAATCATAATCACAGAGAATATTTACATATTCATTTCTTAGTAGTTTCTCTTTTAGGAAATATATGTCTTCTACATGAAATCCAACTCTTAACCCTACTCCTAGCCCTAAAAACAATGTGAATGCTACTATTTTTTACTTATATATATGTAAGCCTCTCAGTCTCTTATACACAAGGGTGTAGGGATTTTAATTCCTTGGATCCTTCTTTTGTTCCAGAATCCACACAGAAGTAGCACCACAATATTGGCATTCTGTATCTATTACCTGAACTGCAAATAGAACCCACAAAAGCCACTTACTCCATGTAACGTTTTCTTCAATAGAAAGCCCAGACAAAAATTACCCCTCAAATACTGTAGTATATTTCTGTTTAATGGATTTACATTTTGAAAGCAATGGATAAGGATGATGGTGGTTTGTGTGCAGTAAAAATGAAACTAGGAAACCATTATTTTTTTAAAAAAATTTTCTGTAACAGATAGGCATCATGTAGTCCTAAGCCACATTTTTTGCACTTGGTAAAGGTAAAAGTTCCCCTTGACTTTTAGTCCAGTCGTGTCCAACTCTAGGCAGCGGTGCTCATCCCTGTTTCCAAGCCATAGAGCCAGCATTTGTCTGAAGACAGTTTCCATGGTCATGTAGCCAGTGCAACTAGACACGGAATACCATTACTTTCCCACCGAGGTGGTACCTATTTATCTACATGCATTTTGCATGCTTTCGAACTGCTAGGTTGGCAGGAGCTGGGACAAGTGACGGGAACTCACTCCATCATGTGGATTCGATATTACGACGGCTGGTCTTCTGACCCTGCAGCAAAGAGGCTTCTGCGGTTTAACCTAGGCATCACGTAGTCCTAAACCACATTTTTTGCCCTAAGACACCTTAAAATATAACTTAGGAAAAAAAAACAATTAAAAATTCAATCTGCCACTGAGAAAAATGGAGGGCATTTCCTAATGACCTTTCTGCGTTAATTGCAACTATTTTATACTTAATACATCTTGTTTACATTTATTTAGAACTTACCTACTGACAGAAATATTGTTGCTTGGTATAAGAAAATTAATAATTTTTAATCTATTTCTAGCCAGGAAATAAAGAATTTCTGCTATGATTCTTGGGCAGAAGGAGGGATTCCAGTTGGGAATGGACTGGGAGCAATAGGATTCCAGCCACTGCTTTTGGTATTTATTTTTTATCTAAAACATTTTTTAAAAAAACCTTATTTGCCCTAACTAGTTCAGGAAGTCTTCAATCAGGCTGTGGACTTTCTGGTTTTTGACCGCAGGTTAGTCTGAAGGTTTTCTGACTGCAGACTTGATGTATCAATTGGAATAATTCAGGTTAAAAAAATCCCTTCATTTTACATTAAAATTATTGCTGAACACAATATCAACAACTGAGTTAAGTACAAACTAGATGGGTTAAGTCTAAAAAAAGATTCAGATAAGCTCTCACTCTTGGTGACTCCATGAAATGATGGCTGCCGAAGGTCTCGTCGTTAAACCATCTCGCTCTGCTCTTGCAAACTACTCAAGGAAATGGTATCTTTTATTAAGTCAGAGGGACTGATTCCACTTTCATTTAGGAACCAGAAGTGTTTCATTTGCAGTCTCATAGTTTGTTTTTTGCTGGGATTTCTTTTGTTTCCCCCCCCCCCCCCACCACACACCCCGCATACTGCCCTGTAGCTATATCCACTCATGGAAAATGCTTCAGGAGTTAACCTTGAGGCAAAATCTGGAGCTGGAGTCCCAAAGGCAGTTCGTGTCATTCTGCCAACTCCTGCAACGTTGCTGGAACTAGTATTGGCTCTTGCCTTTCCACTGGACCATTTCAGCAACATGGAGAGGGGGGATTTGCTGCTTGGGTAACAGCCTATCCTCCATACTAATTTACCCAGGCTTCATGCTCTGGAGAGGACACTTCTTGATACAGAGCATGTTACCATAGTCTCTCGAGACTGAAGGATGCCTATGATGATGAAGCTGGAAAAAGCAGCTGGGAATTGTGCTGGCATTCCACCCCCACCCCCCACCCCTGCAGCAAATTGCCCTACACAATTCTTCACTGTTTGGAGGGAGGGATGGTTTTTGTTTCTGTGGGAGGGTGTTGGTGAGGCCTTTGGGCTGCCAGCCAAACAGAAATAGGAGCCTTGTTCCAGCTGACCTTGCACACACCTGTCCTATACTAATACAACTAGGACTAAAACAACAATGGCTCAAATCCTCTTACATAGTTAGGCTAGAATGACATACCTTCTGGCTAAAATCTTGTTGCTTAGTGTACTAAGTCACACTAGAGTAGGTCTTTGAATCAGTGTGGGGTTTGTGAGTTAACTTGTCCATAAGTTCCATTGATTCAAATAGGCCTACTCTAGTTCCCATGTACTTCAGCTGAGTTAGTCGTAACTAGAATAGGGCCATTTGAATCAGTTGAATTTATACCAGTAATAATTCAGCAAATACCCAATGATTCAATGGGCCTACTTTAGCAAAACCTACCACATTAAGCAACAGGATTTCAACCATACTGAAACTGTGCGACTCAGCATGCAACCGATAATGTCGATGTTGATTTCTTAATTTGGAGACATTTGTTTCCAAAGGTTATGCAATTTACATAGCTATACAAGAGGATTTTTTTGGTGGCTTTCTTTTGGGGCAGGTTTTCATAGATTCCTACAGCCCTCTTCAGTCCAATACAGTTAGTAGTTAAGATGCCAGACAAAGATGACTTGTGTCACTTAATTTTTTCAAAAAGCTTTGTTTCCCCAAAGTGAGAAGTCTTTTGTTTAATCTAAGCATATGTATTCATTTATTTTCACTTCAATATTACAGTATTTGTTGAAAGATGGTCAATTATCAATAAGCATTTTTCTGTGTGTGTTGGCTTGAGCTTCACTTCTATGTTGTTTTATTTGCATGGCCAAAGTTGAATTGTTACGTTTATTGGATAAGTCATCTGATGAAACCACATCTTTAAATCAAGTTTCTTGAGGATTTGTACATACCAATCTGTGTCAACCATCTGGCAATGCAGCCATAAACTTCATCCAAGATTATAATAACCACCAGATTGATAATCACTGCAGTTGCTGTGACAGTTACTCTGATATTAGACCGGCCACCTGGAGAGGAGCTGATGGCTAAAGCTGCTGCAGTGGAGATTCGGTATATGATAACTCCAAAAACAATAGCAAATGTCAGCCCAATCTGTTTTTTTAAAAAAAGGAATGTAATCTGTTACAAACATTTGGCAGTAAATAATTTTAATAGATAGCCACAGTTACATTATAGTGAAGTGCATTCCAGCATAACTATTCAGAGACAATTCTTAAGGCAAAATATGCAGTGACCAAGGGTTTCCTGCCAATGTAAGCAGTAGTTTAACACAGATGGATGTGCCCATACAAGTATTATCCAGCCAACATTCCACTGGTGGCCTCTGCATTTACATTTCCCCTTCCAGTGTAAATCATTCCTTAGTTAAAACACGGAATGCTGTTCTATCACTGTTTTAAGATGATGTCAAACACTCAACAGAGAAACAAAAGGCAATGTAGCGTTACGGATTCCTTCCAAAGGAGATTGAGATATCTTTGGCCCACCTGAGAGGGAATTAGGGGATGAAGTAATGATACTAGCTATCGTAGCCTTCTCCCATATAGTTTTCTGCCCATTCACTGAGGTCTACAGATCAAGGTTCAGTCCATTCTTTGCATGCATGCATCTGGAGGCAACCAAAGGAAGGTGGGGGTGCTCCCTCCTTTCGAATTCTCTCCCCACTGCAAAGCAACAGGCATCAGCCTTCCTGGTGTTTAAAAGCTACACTTTTGTTGATTTTGACACTTAGTGTTATGGAGGCTCATTTGATTCTTTGTGATTTTTAACCCTTGCTTTAATGAATGTAGTGCACCAAGCAGGGAATTTCTATAGCAAAAGCCAGCATATGAATATTTTATTAAAAAGATATAATATGGAAGAATTGGACTGCCAAGGAAGTACCATTGAACGGTGACCTGTGCACTGTGCCTAGAGTTATAGCAACAGCAATGGAGTTCAAAGAATTACAAGCATATGTTGTTGTACTCATTGCAGGCCATAACTAGTTTGAACATCTTGGATGGAGGGCTTTTTTTAATGGGATGAAGGTTTGCTTCATATTTTCCCCATTCCCAAATGTTACTTTGGCAAAATGGAGGAGAGTTTAGGTAACAGAACTGCGGCAATGTGGAAGTCAAAAGAGAGAGAAAAAATTCCTGGGCACTCTGTAATCCTTAGGATTCTTATGGGAGGACTATATAAAAGAAAAGAAAAACCCACCAAAAATATAGCAACATGCTAATCATTTACACTATAATAAATGTCATGCTACATAAATTGTAGTGACACATAGATTGAAAAAAACAAGCTAACAAACAAATATTGTTTGAAGAACATCCCAAAAAGTGAATAAGTCATGGGAAAGTTTCCTCCTTCCACAATACCTTAATGCTTACCATGAAAATAATGCTCACAAAGTTTGTCAAGTAGGCAGGAAAACGATCTTTCCATGTCAGTTTTTCTTTTTCAGTCTAAGGCAAGAAAAAACAACCCATAAACAGTGCAATTCATTTCAGCCCCATACAACAGCTAAATATTTTCTTTTTAATTTGTGCTTGTCATCCAAATATTGATGTGTAGAGAAGCAATCAAATGCATAACCTGATAGTAATGCAAAGACATAGGAATGGAAGAATACATTTTAAAAGAAGATAAACACCAGAACAGTGTGGGATCAGTTCAGTGACTTTCATTGAGCTCTATATCTAAAAAGAGAACCAATAAGTCACTGGCCAGAATCTTATGGGTTAGTTACATTTCCATAAATGCAGTTGTGTAAATTGTAGGGGCAAATTACCTGTAGTCAACAAGTTGCCAATCGTATCCATAATTATGCACCAAATCATGTGACTGACTGGCAACAAGGGACACAAGTGGTGGTATGTTAATTAGTGGCACGTCAATGCAGCAATTTCTGCCACTGCACATATCCTAGTGTAACGACCAGTAAGATTCAGGCCACTGGGTTTATTAAAAAATAATAATTTGTGTATCATTTCAATGAGTACATTCAGTGTTTTGTGAGTGGACTTCCATTCATGGAACAAGACTTCCCCCTCTTCTTCCCTTGCAATCTAGAGCAGATTTTAGGAGGAACATGAGTATGTGTGTGTAAATGGGATGGGGAATTTATTTCAACGATAGGCGTCACAGACATTATTGGATGTAGTTCATAAAGGCCAATATCTTTACAAAAACAGGTATTTTGAAGGATTGTCAAAGCCTCTACTTCAGTTTAGTCTAAATATTATAGTCCTGTTAACTTGGGCATTGTTTAAATAGTTTTTATAATTATATTATGTGTTTATGTAGGATACAGAAAATGTCATGTTACATCCAAACCATACAAAATAGTTCACTCCAAATGTGGAGCCTGCCTATTGTGCTCCTTATCTTGTTAAGATTCAAAAAGTTATAATTTTTTTTGAAGTACAAGTCACGGAATTCCTCAGTTCATGTGACTGCTTGCTTTTGTTGGCCAGTGATTTCATTTGCACTATAATAAATGTGCATATTTGAAAATAAATTTCCAAAAAGGAAATGTTTCCTGAGTCTGAGACAGAAGAGCTACTTGGGTATAGTAAAATTTAGGAAATGTGTGGTCTTGCCTATTTTGGTAGCAGTTGAACTAGAATCAACCCCAGTGATTATGATGTACTTGAGGCAAAAAAGTAAAAATGCAGGTATAGCATCTGCCATCTTCTTCATCCATTGGGTCCCTTTCTCTCTTGTCCTGATCAGGAAACTAATTGTGTCTTACAACTAGCCTGGAAGGAAGGTGAGAAAAGGGATTAGAGGAAAAATAAGCAGGAAGCACAGTGGTTGCACCTCCTCCCAATACTCTGGGGCAGTAATAGTAGATGACATCTGTTTATTTTCAAGAAACTTTAAGGTACCTCCATTTTGTTTCAACACAGTGTAAGCCTCATGGCACAGTGATTAAGTTGTAGTGCTGCAGTCATGACTCTGCTCATGATCTGAGTTCAGTCCTGAGGAGTTCAAGTAGTGGCTCAAGCTTCTATCCTTCTGAGGTTGGTAAACAGAGTACCCAGCTCAAGGGTGTGTACGTGTGTAGCCTGCATAATTAAATTATAAACTGCCCAGAGAGTCCTTTAATTAATATTGGCAGTATATAAGGAGCACACTTGTTTGCTTTGAAGATTATTTTATTTGTAAAGATAGGAAATGAGGTATTAATAATGTAATGTCATGTATAATTACAGAAAGCCACTGTAACAAGTATTTGACATAACATGCATACCACATGCATGTTGTCTTGGAGGGGAAGAAGCAGGCAACTCCATCAGGCATATGGTATTGCAAAAGGAGCACAGCAGTTAACATTTGAGGATTAACCATGCAGTGCCATTCCAAACAGAGGCAAAAACCACTCTCAACAAGAGCAATAAGGAAAGGGGGGAGGGAGGTAAGTGAATATTAGAAACAAACAGAAAACGTTGGGGGGGGAGGTCAATTCGTGTTTTCCATAGTTATTTGTAATTCAGAAAGGTTCCGCAAATTTGAAGGAAATGTACCAATTTCACCCCAGCCATGACTCTCTTAACTCTTTGTTGCCATTTGTTTGCTGCCTCTTCTGGCAATTGCTGGCCCTTCTGATGGCATTTGAAGGAAACAGAAAAGGATCATGCAATATGGTTCTTACAAAGCATTGATTCATACATGTAAATAAATCAATACCCTCAGCGGCATATGGACACGTTACAACTTAAAAAAAAGCTGCCTGTTACTTGTTATGGGACAATGTTATGTCTTCTGATATGAAGTAAATTACTATAAAGAAGAAGAAAAAATAAAGTAAAACCGCAGAAAAATAACCATTATTATCTAGAAAAACAACAACAACAATAGGCAAGGGTTTATGGGGGGAAAAGCCTTTGCTAAGTTTTTGAAGATGTCAAAGAGGATGTCTCTCCCCCCCCCCATAACAGAAAAATATGTTTTGTAAGATTTCACAGGTTTCTGTACCAGGACAGCTGCAGCTATTTAAGGTGGTGACTATGTTGACAAATGCGTCAGGATTTGCTCAGCAATTAGCCTGGGTGAATTTGAAGATTTTTCTTTTCCAATGATCACACAATGCAAAGGCCAATGTAAATCAACCTGTTTCTTTTTACATCCAGTAAAGAATCCCCCCACCCCCACCCCTACTTCTGCTGGGGGTTTCTACCAGAATGATTTAAATTATGTTTTCCAGATGTGGCTATTTGTTTTGTTGTACAAAATGATAGGCATTTATGTGATTTTTGGTGGTGTTATGGTGATGTCTTATGCTTGGAAGTGAAGTTTTGGGATAGTGGAAACATCCACCCTTGCAATATTTCTTCCTAGTCATCCCAAAGTATTATTTATTTTTTAATCTTAAAAAAAACTGCCAAGTTTACTACTAGATTTCCTTATCACTGTATAGATACATTAGTTTAATGGGCAGTATCAAAGGAAGGGGAGCCAAGGGCTGCGGACACATGTCAAACCTCACTGGATGAGGGCCAATGTGGACACTGACACCAAAACAATGAGAGGTCTTCATGTGATCATCTAAACCAAATACAACCATAGGTAAAGGTAAAGGTTCCCCTTGACAATTTTTGTCCAGTCGTGTCTGACCCTAGGGGGTGGTGCTCATCTCCGTTTCCAACCCATAGTTTGTCCGAAGATAATCTTCCGTGGTCACGTGGCCAGCGCGACTAGACATGGGACGCAGTTACCTTCCCACCATGGTGGTACCTATTTATCTACTCGCATTTTGCATTTTTGCATGCTTTCGAACCGCTAGGTTGGCGGGAGCTGGGATAATATACCAGATGGGCGGGATATAAATTAAATAAATAAATGAATATAAATAAATAAATAAATAAATCAATGATGGGGGTGACTGCAGGTCTTCTGACCTTGCAGCACAGAGGCTTCTGAGGTTTAACCCGCAGCGCCACCATGTCCCACCATAAGAGATTGCAAATCAGGCTGCAGCAAAGCTAAATTGCTCCACTTCAACTTGGCAGTATAGTCACACCTGATCTGGAGTCAAAATTGTGAAGTGAATTGGCCATGTTTACAGATGAGACCAGATTATGTGAGATGATAAAATCCAATACAGACAGTGGAGAAATCTAGAGGTATCTGAGAGGGAAATCAGCCCTTTTCTGTACCTCTTCTACTACTACAGTATAATTTTTAAGATGGGATGATTAGAACTCTATACAGTATTCCAAACAAGCACACAATTATAACTTTATATAAAATAATATTTATAGCATTGGAAGATTTCTTCAATATCTGTACTACTAATTCTTACCATAAAATTTACTTTTCTTCACCACCACAAACTGAGCTGAAATTTTCATTGAGCCCAAGCCATAAATTTCTTACCTGTTTGTTTGTGTCACTTCTGCTACTATATTTTAGATCAATAATTTGTTTCACTAATATGCATCATTGGCTGAAATCCAACAGCATAATATGCTATATAAGGCTAATAACATTATTGACTGGAGCATCTTTTCAGAAATTAGAAATTTCTAACCCCACTGAAGGTACCAAGGCTCCTTTGGGATCCCCTGCATTGTGAGGAAGCCATAGGGAGTCACAGAATTGTGTGTATATGGGGAGTCTTTTACTGTATATCTAAAAATCATTTGCTGGGAAAATCATCCCAGTGGCAGTGATTTTCACTAACTAAAGACTTCCTTCTCCTGTCTCACATCCCCTAACAGCTTTCTGGTAATGGAAGGGATTCAATACAACCTCTGGTACCTTAGGGAGACAAATAAAAATATTTTATTTCTGAAAAATTGCCTTGTACGGCATAGCTGGAGCAACATGTATGCTTGTTTGTAATTAATCACTTTGTTGGCCATTCACTGACTTTGGAAAGGTCTTTGAGTAGCTTTCTAAAATCTGCTGGTGTTTTCATTCTCCTAAATAATTTGACATAATCTGCAAACATGGTTTATCACTTTGCCTCTATTCTCTGTTTTCTGTTGGACCATAAACTTACTGATGTATACAAGAACCTCTCCTAATACCAGGTGATTTGGTAAGTTTACACAAAAGAATTAAGAAGAAATGATGTCAGTTCTTCCTGTTTTTCCAGCTTTCTAATATCTCTTATATGTGTGATTGGTAACACTCCGAAAGATTGCCTGTGTTAGTGAAACAGAGTCCTATTTCAAAAGTCATTATTGTTCTTCCTATGTTTATGTGGGAATAGAGGCTGTTGAATGTTCTCTCAAAATATTTTGCTTGCGTAAGTCCTATTGAACTGAATGGAGCTTGCCGTAACCAAATAAGAAAATGTAAAATGGTGTTAAGAGCAAAGTTTTGCTGATGTAACATATTCACTTCTTCTGGCCTTCACAAATTCAGCAGCAATGCATAGTTTAATGTTTAATCTATGGAACATTTATAAACCTGCATCATAAGGAAACATCTGTCTTATTTATCACTTCATCATATCTCCAAAAGCTTGCCGATTTAGTATTGGAATTTGATTTACAACTAAATCTGGAGAGAGTGGGATAAGAAAGCAAATAAGTAAGGTAGAACCTTTATTTTCATATAAAACTCAGAATTGTACATTAGGCATATCATACACTATGATGGGATCTGTGCCTGAGCCAGTATTTTACTTGTATTATAGGTGTGAAACTTTTAAAACCATTGATTCCAGATTGGAATCATGTGTTATGACTAAATCATTTTTTGTGACATATAATTATGTAATACACTTCTGGAAAATGTTTTATGCCTGGTGGCAGCTGTATTCAGCACAGTTCTAGCATTAACCCAAGCTACATCACTTGTGTACATTTATATGATTGTTACATCACTACACTGGAATGCAATATGATGACTCTGTGCATTTCTGAGTCTTTTAAGGAAGATATCCATTGTTTGGAAACCCTCAGGTAAAAGTTCTGATTCTTGCGTTATAACTCAGGTCCATGATAATGACCCAGGCACATTATTCACAACATCCTTTTAGCTATTGTATAGGAAAATTTGAAACCTCAAGAGTGTAGATAGGGAATGGAAGAAGAAGCAAGAAAAACTAATGACTAAACAGGGAAATGCTAGGAAAGGGAGAATTGATAGCTGGATTCTTCTGATCTGTATGTGCCATTAGACAGAAGATATGCCTTTGTGGAATGCACAAGAATGGGTATAAGAGCAGAATGGAGAATACTGTTCAACCAGATGCAGTCTCCCTAGTCCGTGGTACAGTGCAACCTAGCCAGAGGCACATGGACCTTCCTGCATGTTTCACAGAAGCAACTTTGGATATGATACATAGTGCGCACTCAAGAAGCAGCTGCAACTGATTGTAATGCCCTGGTATTATATGATATATGATTTGCTGCAGTCAGATTTTACATTATGAGATGTACACCTGAAATCAACATGAGGAAAACATATAATGGGACTTCCACTAACTAACTATACATTCAAAGAGGTCTGAGCTGTCTAGGAGCTAATTCTAATGGAAATATTTGATGAGATCAAGATTTGGCAAAATTTCTCCTCTCTCTCTCTCTCTCTCTCATGATATATGATTTGCTGCAGTCAGATTTTACATTATGAGATGTACACCTGAAATCAACATGAGGAAAACATATAATGGGACTTCCACTAACTAACTATACATTCAAAGAGGTCTGAGCTGTCTAGGAGCTAATTCTAATGGAAATATTTGATGAGATCAAGATTTGGCAAAATTTCTCCTCTCTCTCTCTCTCTCTCTCTCTCTCCTTTTGGTATACTTATGAGCCCATTGGTAACAGTTGCTCTGTATGAGTTTGTTTTCTCATTCCCAAATCAATGGAAAAAAAATAATGAATGTGCAATTTGTCTGTGGTAAGTTTATTTGGGATCCTATCATGAGAATGCAGCATATAAGGAACCACAAGCCATATTGCCTTGCAGTTCCATATATTGTGATGAATCCACCCCGTTCTTCTAGGCAGTGTGCAGTCACTTCCAGTCTAGTCTTGCTGGAACTTTCATTTGACATGTTGGCTGGAATGCAGCATATATATGAATTAAAATTTGGCTTAACTGTTGATGTAGCATGTTTCTAATGTTCTAGTTCTGGGTTTTTTTTTTGCCTTACCCTTCCTCCTAAGCTATACTACTTTATCCTGGGTCTATCCAGAACATAAAAAAAATGAAAACCAAGAGCATGAAATGTACAATCTGAAGAAAAATCTAAAAATGATTTATTTAGCCAATAGTACTAGGAATCAGAGGATGTTCACCAAAATGTTAGAAAACTTACAGTCTAACTAAACTCTCTGTTTTTTCTACTTACCTATTTGGTAGTAGCTAATTTCACAGTAACAGTTTTATCTTGAAGCATGGAGTAGTTGAGAAAAGATCATTTACTATTTGTTCTCCATGTTCATAGTCTGTTAGTATCTTCCTTAAATTCCCTTTTCTGTGACTAATGCCACAATTCTAAATGTACTCAGTAGGGCATGAGCCCCACTGGACACAATGGAACACTTCCAATTAAACATACACAGATCTGTACTGTAGAAGTTCCACAGATACCCAGTCATGTAATTTACCAACCATAGTGTACCTCTGGACAAGTTCAGTCTGCAACTGACCTAAATAGTCTTTAAAACTATTTAAAAGCCTTCGCGAATACAGTCTTTAAAACTCATACTATGTCTAGATGGGCGGCGTATAAATGCAATAAATAAATAAATAAATGACAAATTTGATGTGTGCAAACTTCAAAGTTGGCTGAAATCCTGTTGCTGTACCTTACAACATGTGAGGCTGCTATTATCCCAAAGCTTCTGTGTAATCCCTTTCAAAATTGGAAATTCATGGAAGCTGTGGAGCAGGAAGGGAAAGTCCTTAATTACCGAAAAAGCCATTGCAAGAAAAGTCATCTGGATGGTGGTAATATGCAGCAATTAAAGATTTATCCTTCCCATCCTGAGTTTCTACAGGCAGTCAGTGATGAAAAAGATTACATGGGAGTTTTAGAAGCTTTGTGAGATAAGTCAGAAATGTTTGATTTCCAGAAAATTGACGCTGCTGATGACATCATCAGGCTTAATGCTGTGTAAATCATGGCAACAAGATTTCAGCCAAAGGATATCAGTTTCTGTACAACAATAAAATCCATGTAGGCATTTTCTAGAAGTTCAAAGCAAGAATTAATGGACAAACTGATTTGTGCCAGTGGGATCCAAAGAATATCAACTATTGAGCCAATTGACCTTCTAAACAGAAAATGAGTGCTCTGATGTAGTCAGAACTGCAGCCAACTACCAAATCTGACTAATCAAAGCACTTGTTTGAGGAGGCAGGCGGACTTCATGTAGCAGTGAGCCAGGACGCAATGTGCAATTAGCTTATTAAACTGCAAAATATATGTTTTAAAATCACAAGAAGTCTTTATGTCCAGCAGCTCAGAATGACTGTGAGTGTGGGTATTTGATTTTGGACAAACTGCATCTCTGCTTGTGATGAATCCCTGTTTCCATAGCCATTGAGCTAGGTAAGGTCACATAGGTATTTCAAGGGGAAATCCTTAAACATTCTTTAAACAATAATTTGGGAATGCAACGCTAACGTGTGTCTGCAATATTGGTTTTTAAAAAGCTGCCACATTATGTCTAACTTCATGCTCTACTGGCTTGGAGTACATTACTATATCTATATTGCATTTGAAGAGACGAAAAGCCCCAAAGTAGAAACCCTTTCCATATTTCCTGGGGGGAAGTCCCCCTTGAACCTCTTGTTATCAGAACATGCATAGAATAAGGTTGCAGATGCTATAAACTTACTGGAAACCCAAAGCAATATATATGGTCATGAAATTTCCATCTGTACTGGTCTAGGGACTCAGGTTAAATCCAGTGGGCTTCACTCTGTTCTTTTGTCTTTCTTCTTGTGTGGTTTGCCTTAGGGTCCTCCCCCACTATTAACCTTCCTATTATTTTGCACATGGTTAAAGAATGGTAATAGGTACTCAGGTAAAAGCAAATGCTATTTCATTATTGTTGTTGTTATTATTATTATTATTAGGAACATTCTTAAGTAGGAACATAAAAATAAAGTGTTAGCTTACCTCTTTATTTTTGTATTCTTTCTTTAGTGATTTCTTTAATACTTTAGCTTCATACTCAGCCCTTGGATGGTCCTGCAAATAAGCCACACATACAAGTGAGCATGGCATCTATTGTATACCTGTTCAAAGGTATAGGGCTGGATCTAAACAAGTGTTTGGCTGTAATGTAACTTAAAGCTCCCCACATGTCATTTATGCCTGGGTGCAAATGCCATTGCTGTCCATTGATATTCTATTAGAGCTAAAAGCCTATCTCTGTCTACTGTGTATGTATAACTGATTTTGAATTGATGGTGAATTTGCTGTTGTGCTGGAGGATGCTTCTTTCTCTACTATGCCACAGTAGTGGCACTCATTACTTAAGAAGCAAATCAAACAGGGAACAGCCGAGCAATAATTTGGTATAGCTGCAAAGAGCTGAGATTCTGATTACAGAATCTGTTGATTTAAATCCTTGTTATTGAAACATTTCATTCCAAGCATTGCAGTTAGGTTGTACTAGCTGACATTATAGAATATACTGACCTCCACTTGGGAAGTGAGATGGCAATGATCTTATAATAATAATAATCTTAGAACTGCAGAACTGGAAGGGACCCTAAGGATTCTAAAAAGGCTTTCACGGCCGGGATCTGATGGTTGTTTTGGGTTTTTTGGGCTCTTTGGCTGTGTTCTGAAGGCTGTTATTCTTAACGTCTCACCAGTCTCTGTGGCCGGTATCTTCAGAGGACAGGAGTCAGAACTCTATCTGTGCTCTGGTGCAGTTTGTTTGGATAGTTGAGTATTCATAGCTGTGGGATCAGCTTTTGTCCTTTTCAGGAGATGGGTGATTGTGTTGATCAGTGTGCTTTTTTGTTGTGGATGCATTGTTGTGATAAGGGGGAGAGATGATCTGTCAGTGTGATTGATGGGTTTCATTAGCTGGTCTTTTGTGTGCAGTGATCACCAGTCCTTGTAGCTGGGTACAGTTCATTGTCCTTTTGCAGACTGTATTTTTCAGTGCTGGGAGCCAGGGTTTGTTGAGTTTTAAATTTTCTTCTTTTTTGTTGAAGCTCTGCTGGTGTTTGTGGATTTCAATGGCTTCCCTGTGCAGTCTAACATAATGTTTGCTGGTATTGTCCAGTACTTCTGTGCTTTGAAATAGAGTTTATTGTCCAGTTTGTTTTAGGGAATGTTCAGCTACTGCTGATTTTTCCGGTTGTCTTAGTCTGAAAAATACAGCCTGCAAAACGTCAGTGAACTCTACCCAGCTACAAGGACCAGTGATCACTGCACACAAAAGACCAGCTAATGACACCCATAAATCACAATGACAGATCATCTATCCCCCTTATCACAACAATGCACCCACAACAACAAAAACACTCAGCACCACAATAACCCATCTCCTGAAAAGGACAAAATCTGATTCCACAGGTATAAATACTCAACTATCCCACAAACTACACCAGAGCACAGACAGAATTCTGACTCCTGTCCTCTGAAGATACCGGCCATAAAGACTGGCAAAACATTAGGAAGAACAACCTTCAAAACACAGCCAAAGAACCTGAAAACCCCACAACAACCACCGACCCTAAGGATTATCGAGTCGAGCTCCTGTCAAGGACGCACAGTGGGTAATTAAACTCACAACTAGATATGGGGACAAATAAAAAAACAAATCAGGATATTGGTTAAATATCCCTGATTCATCAGATATTAGCTGCTTTGTATTCTTGGGGTCCAGAGACCCCGACGAATACTAAGCAACTACAGTGGGGTCTTGACTTGAGAACTTAATCCGTATTGGAAGGTGGTTCTCAAGTCAAAAAGTTCTCAGGTCAAATCTGCATTTCCCATAGGAATGCATTGAAAACCATTTGATCCGTATCTGCTCTTTTCCGTCCTAAACGCTGGGAGGAGTGAGGAAGCAGACAGGCACCCTTTTCACTGGCCAACAGTTAACTGAAAGTTCACTTTTTGCTCTTTCCCTGCCTCCCACGTGGGTTTTTTTCAGTTCTTAACTCAAATCTAAGTATGTAAGTCAAGTCAATATTTTCCTATGAGAGTGGTTCTTAAGTCAAAATGTTCTTAACTCAAGCCGTTCTTAAGTCAAGACCCCACTGTAATATAACCCTTTTATATTCATCCCTTCATTCCTTATCTGCCTATGCCCCACAGATCAGTTATTCCTCAGGGCATAAGCAGAGAGGGGTTTTCCCTTCGGGCGGCTTGCTAAAGCCTGCCAGAAGGGACCCCCCTCCAGCTGGAGGATGGCTTAGTTCCCCTTTCCTCCTCTTCCTATCTCTGTGTGGCATAAGAAGAGGAGGGAAGGGATCAAAGATATCCTCCAGCCACTGCATGATTGCTTTTATCCCTGCTTTCCCTCCTCTTGCTATGCCCCATGGGGCTTAGCAAGAGAAGAGGAAAAGGAATAAAAGCACAGCAGGATCACTTTGAGCCCTGCTTTTCCTCTTTGATCCCTGCTTTCCCTCTATGCTCATGGGGCATAGCAAGAAAAGGGAAAGCAAATAGTAATAATAGTAATAATAGTAATAATAGTGTCACATACAGCACTGATGGTACCTGTCTGTCATGGGTTTGGAGGGAACGTTCCATCCTATGGGGAGTGGAAGGCGGGACATCAGGGGGGAGGAGCTGTACTGTATATATATTTGGGGGAAGTCCATCGTAGGGGAGCTGACGTGGAGAAGTGGAGTTGGAGTCTGTGGGTCAGACTGGGTACAACTGTTCGTCAGACAGTACATACCTGATAGGTTCAGGTTTCTATCTAGGTAGCCAGAACTGATAGGTTCAGGGTCTGTGCGTTACCTTAAAGTGTTCCGTGAGAACCAATCTGTTGTATGTGTATGATTGGGACTATACCAAGTTCCAGTATCCTATTTACCTGATCCTTTTATTTACCCTGTTTGTTTTTTCAATAAACCTTGTTCTTTTGTTTATTAAAAGCCATTCCTGGTCTGGGTGACTTGGTAGAGCGAATGGTTGGTGGCAGCATAACTACAGGGTGGGATACACCAGTAGGTCTGGGGTTGCTACAAATAGTAATAATTATTATAAATGACCTGACAAATGAAAAATTGATTCATTGTTTGTTGGGTCACTTGGGGCAATTTGCGGTTCATGGGTTGTCAAGTTTGTCCCCATCTCTACTCCCAGCCAGTTGTTCCAATGCTCAATACTCAATTTATTAACCCCTAATTATACGCCTGTTATACTTTAACTTGGACTTTGTTTCCCAAACTGCATTTCACATTAGCAAAATGGAAAAAAGTGGAAAATAATCAGAAATTGAAGGAATGAGACAGCCAAAAGATTCAGAAAGTAGTTTCAAAATTACATTGATTGAAATGGAAATGGTTATGAAAAAAAAATGCCCATCACAGGGATATATTCATGAAGAAAGAATCATAGCAGTGGAAGCTGTAGAAGAAACAAAGTGTTAGGAAAAAAAGAATGAGGTGAGATTAAAAGGCATCTCTCATCATTAGACAGATTCTTTTTTAAAGGCAGAGAAATTATAAAAAATAAAAATAAATTCCAAACCTTGACTGCCTCCTTCAGGAAACCATAAAAACATACAGAAAAAAACATAAAATTTAAAATTACTTCACTGCCAAAAAATTTGGACACTGGATACATTTGTTTTTAATCATACATATGGAACAGCAAAAATCAAAAGATATATAGCTGTGTCTTTGTGGAACAAATATTAATTTTTATTTACACTGAGAATGAATCAGTAGCATGTTAAGACGCCTTTCACTGTATCAAGATAAAAAAATAAATACTGGAGTAAGTAATATGTTGCTGTAGAGTCCTGATGGTGTCTGCTAATTAAACACATGCGGTACTCAATTTCCCTCTTGTACTAGTTTCACTGAAATAAACAACCATATGAAACAAGAGCTGAATGGCAGTATTCCAGCTTATCTATAATTCATTTCAGTGGGACTTGCCCCCAGAGAAGTTCCTGGGGATTTGGTCTTATATTATGAAGCCACTTCCAATCTTCAGTGGGATTTAAATGCATGCTTAAGTGCTTTGCTCATAGGACTGAATTAATGGGACTGAAGCATGTTAAGTAAAAAATAAAATATATTCTATTAACAACAGTTATCTCAGGTCACAGGCTGTTATCACTGCAAAGAACACCAGACATAACCCTGAAAGATATGTGCCACTAGAAGGATACAGTTAATCCTTCCACTTTCATGTAAGCTAACAATAAATGAACCAAAAATAAAAGGACAGTTGTCTTATGGCATCCATAAAAAAACATCCTACTGTTGTTATCCAATTGGTTAGGCCTCAGTCCTATATAAATGGTTTATGTTAGCACAGTGCAGTGTCTATGAGCGAGGAAGAGGATCAGGGCCTTTGAAGAGTTACATTTTTTAGTCATGGGCAAAAGATTGTCTGGATGTGTAACTTAATATAATTATAAGTTATATCACTCAATTAAGAAACAGTTAGTGGATGGAAATGTTATCCTGGTACTTCAAGGAAAGTGCACCCTGCAGGTGGCAAACACATTCTTAAAGTCAAAACCTTCCTGTTCCAGGCTTTTAATTTAAATAACATCAACTGTGGGTCCTGATGATGGCAATTTTAATTTAATTTTAATTGTGTTTTAATCATTTTATTTTTATTAGCTGGCCCACTGGCAGTCGTCTTCTGTCTCACAAAGGAAATAATTGTTCTAAAGTGCATCTACTACACCTCCACCATTTTCAAATGTCTCGTTCTTGTTCATATGCAACTGTATGCAATTTAATTTACAAATCAATTGGAACTTAATTCAATTCGGGCTTTAGATATTCTACACTACACTGTACTAAACTAACTGCAAGAGGACTGCTTGTTCTCCAGTATTTTCTAAATTCGGCAACTATGCGCTCTTCCTAGAGCTTGGAAACCTTACCAATTAGTTACTAAGTAATTATTACAACTCCCAGAATTCCCCAGACAGCATTACGGGCCAGACTCTAATTCTGGTGACATGGAACACACAGTCTCAAGCTACATTTAAAAAATAAAGACAGGTGTGTGAGGGTGTTAGATGTCTTACAAAACTAGAACAATTGTTGCAGAGGATAGAGTATTCTATGGGAAAAAGTAAGCCCTCCCCGATGAAAACATTTTATAAATAAAAGCTCATAATTGGAACTAAATGGCTACTTGATCTCCTCCTCATCAGCTTCTTTTCTCAAAGCAAAACATGGCCAATTCTTTCAGTCTTTCCTCTTAAGTCTTGGTTTCTAGCCCACTGATCCTCCTTGTCACCCTCCTCTGAACTTCTTCCAATTTGTCAGCATCCTTCTTGATGCTGGACACAATATTCAAGGTGAGGCCTTTCATCAGGATGAAGAAATTGGGGACAATTTTACCCGTGGCAGTGATTTTTCGAAGCTAAAGAGCTCCTTCCACAATGGCAGCCTAGTGACTCAGCTATGATGAAAGGTATCCCAAGGGAGAAGGAATCAGAAATTTTTAATTTCCAAAAACTACAGCATTACCGAGAGTAAGTTCTGCTGCTGGATTTCAGCCTCTGTCTCCTTAAATATATCCATAGTACATTTGGACATAATTTGGTACTGTAATGCTTTTTCATCTTTTGTGGGTCAAGTCGTTTCATACCGGCTACAGTATTAGCTACATTTAAGTCATTTTGAACTAACAGAACAAGTGCATTCAGACTATTGCCAGTGCTGTATTCATGGGAATGTTATTCTCAAAACTGAATAATTTCCACATTCTTTCTTACAATTTCCTCATGTTTAATGTTAAAGTTTCTCCATTCCTTTGTCTGACTGTGTGGAGACGTTTTTCTCTTCAGGATAGTATGTTTTCTAGATTAAGTGACTCATTTGTGAACCATATATGTTTTAACACCCACACTATTAGGCGTGACTCTCATTTTGTATTTTTAACATTATGTTTCCATAGTTACGAGATGTGCTGCTAACACACCCTTCCCAAATTTAGAAATAGAATATGTATAGTATTTTCCTTTCCAATGCCAGAGGAACTGGAAATAAAAGATCATTTAGCAGACATAACAACCAATGAAATGGATTTGACAAAATTAACTTACTTCCTCTTCTTCAAACCCAGTCAGATCCCATCTATAGTTCAGACGCATTTGTTTTCTCTTCCAGTGTTCCATGAATGTAGCAGCTGGGTAATTAAAGAAAATAATATTTAGATATGAAGACTAACTATCAGTTACAGTTTGTTATGACTTTCTAGTTAGCTTGTATTGCATAACATACTACCTTTTCTACTTGCTGAAAGAGAAATCCTAAAGATCATTAGCAATCCAAAATGGAATAGTACATTCTGCCTGCAGATCTAAAAGAAATGTTACATAATACTTATTGATCAAAGCAAATTATTATTAAACAGAAATAGCTAATTTTTCCAGAGCTTGAACTTCAGTTTGAAAAAAGGGAAGAAATATATGATAATCCTAATGTAAATATGATGGTAGGTGATTTTCAGTTTCAATAATATTATTTGCTTTCTGTAAAGTCACAAATAGATTCTGTGTTTCTTGACAATGCATCTCCTGCCGGTTTTCAGTACAGAAAAGGAGTGGGTTGAGGCATAAATTGGACTAGAATCATGGCACTGGGAAAGCTATTCATTGGTGTACATGTTCATTCATTCTATAATTTTACATCTCAACCTCCAAGAGGTTCTCCATACCAAAAGAATCAAAACAAAAGAATTAAAACAAGAACATCAACTTTGCAATCATATGTACATTTAACTTGAAAATAAAGGTAAAGGTAAAGGTTCCCCTTGACAATTTTTGTCCAGTCGTGTTCGACTCTAGGGGGCAGTGCTCATCCCCATTTCCAAGCCACAGAGCCAATCTGTGACAGAGACAATCTTCCGTGGTCACATGGCCAGTGTGACTTAGACACAGAACGCTGTTACCTTCCACCAAGGTGGTCCCTATTTATCTACTTGCATTTGCATGCTTTCGAACTGCTAGGTTGGCAGGAGCTGGGACAAGCAACGGGAGCTCACTCCGTTGCGTGGATTCGATCTTACGACTGCTTGGTCTTCTGACCCTGTAGCACAGGCTTCTGCGGTTTAGCCCGCAGCGCCACCACGTCCCCTAACGTGAAAATAAATTCCATTAAAAAGATGATACTGGGTAATAATGCACAGGGTTACACTCCAGAATACCATATAATAATTAAACAATATTGCATAGCATATGCATGTGTAATAAAAACATCATAAAAGTAATGTATAGACGATAAAAACATGTCCGTTAAGCAGCAAAACAGAGTTAAGATAGGGGCCAAATAGCCCTCCCTGATGAAAATATTATGTGGAAGGGTTCCATTCCTCTACAAGGGGATCTGAAAATCAGGAGCCGAAGCTCTGTAGGTCAGATTAATGGCTCAGGAGAAAAGACTTAAGTAGTTCCCCACTGCCACTATCACATTTTGAATTAGTCCCCTTCCTGATCTTAGCTTTAGGAAGTAGAGGAGAGGGACCACACAATAGTGTTAATCAGATCTCAAACCTTATGGGCTAGCTTGATCTTGGGGTTAAACACAGATTGTATTTACTGTATTTTTCCGTGTATACGCCCCCCCCAATGTATAAGATGACCCACTAATTTTATCCCTTGGTGGAGGAGCAGTCAATGGGCAGTCGCGAGGAGGAGCCCAGTGTGGGTGCTCCTCTGCCTCTGTCTCCTACTGCTGCCGCCTCTGCTGCCTGATCACCTCCTGCAGTGCAACTGCCAGGGCTCACCTCCTGCTCATGTCACCGCCTTGTCCCCTGCCCGAAGGGAGCCTGTGAGTGGTGCTGGAGGAGGTGATCTGATGGCAGTGGCAGCAGGAAATGGGCAGCAGCGAGAGGTGGCTGAGTATGGCAGCTCCTTCGCCTCCTCCTCCTCCTCCTCCTCCTCCTCCTCCTCCTCCTGCT